CAATACAATACAATACAATACAATACAATACAATAGCAGAGTTGGAAAGGACCTTGGAGGTCTTCTAGTCCAACCCCCTGAGTAGGCAGGAAACCCTATACCATTCCAGACAAATGGCTATCCAACATCTCCTTAAAGACTTCCAGTGTTGGGGCAATCACAACTTCTGGAGGCAAGCTGTTCCCCTAATTAATTGTTTTAACTGTCAGGAACTTTCTCCTCAGTTCTAAGTTGCTTCTCTCCTTGATTACTTTCCTCCCATTGCTTCTTGTTCTACCCTCAGGTGGAGAATAGTTTGACTCCCTCTTTTTTGTGGCAACCCCTGAGATATTGGAACACTGCAATCATATCTCCCGTAGTCCTTTTCATTAAACTAAACATACCCAGTTCCTGCAACCGTTCTTCATGTTTTAGTCTTCAGTCCCCTAATCATCTTTGTTGCTCTTCTCTGCACTCTTTCTAGAGTCTCCACATCTTTTCCACATCTGACCAAAACTGAATGCAGTATTCCAAGTGTGGCCTTACCAAGGCATTATAAAGTGGTATTAACACTTCACATGATCTTGATTCTATCCCTGTGTTTATGCAGCCTAGAACTGTGTTGGCTTTTTTGGCAGCTGCTGCAACTGCTGGCTCATATTTAAATGGTTGTCCATTATGACTCCAAGATCCCTCTCACAGTTACTACTATTGAGCAAGGTACCACTATACTGTACCTGTGCATTTCGTTTTTGTACCTGTGCATTTTGTTTTTTAAAAATGAAATGCACAAAGAAAAGAAGAGCAAGGATATTAGGAATGGCTTGAATTTTTTTTTGCTTGTTCTGTGCTGGTCTGTGATCATAATAACGATTCTTTGCTTGTTCACATAGATAGAACTACGGTTTCTCTAACATTTGAGCTGGGCTGCCACCTTTGTTATATCATTTCTAATCTCATATGTACCAATCAGCAAAGATGGCCTGCTATTATCCAATAAATGGTGGTGTATTGTTTTTTGCTGCCTCAAGAAATAACATATGTATGCATTTCTTAACCACTTAAAATTGATTTTGTTTTAGAGTCGCAATAAACATTTGGATAAAGTACATGTAGTCCTTGGAAAGAAATCCTGTGATTTGGATTCAATTATTTCTGCTTTAGCTTATGCCTACTATCTTGAAAAGGTAAATATTTTGTATGTCATTATGTTTTTGTAATTCCATTATCATATAAATATTAATCATTTACCATATATATAGCAAAACTGATTTAATGATCGTGAACAAATAGCAAGGCTATTTGTTTTAATCTCTGATGTTTGTCTAATAACTATAGCCCAGGTATCCAAAACATATTTTACTTATAAAATTTGTCTAAATTTAGAATTTTATTTTGACTATCCCATATAATTTTCTTTATATTTTTATACTTAAAATATTTGTTGCATGGAGATTTGTCTTGCTTACCTACACATATCCACTAAGTAAAGCTGCATAGTTTTTGGTGGATACAGGAAAGTCCCCCCCCTCCTTCCATTAACTATACAACTGAAAAGAAATTTGCTCTGTTAAAACTGATCTCCAAGGACTGGCACAGTATCTCTTTTGGGCCTTTGGGTTTGGCCCATAGATATAGCCATGAACCAGTTCACCAAGGTTTGTTGGTTTAATAAATCATGTTAAAAATAAACCATAATTTACCATGATATATCTATTCTGTGCATTTATAGTAAATTGTATCTGTTGATGTACTTTATTGTTGGAGAAAAAAAACTTCAGTTACTTTAGATTGATACAATTCTATCAGACATGAACATGGGGTACTTTAATATTCATATATCATAATAACTCTACACTGTTTTTAATCATGAATATGCTTGCATAATATCTATTCCATGTCATCTATTTCTGGGCTGGAAAAAATGTCAACTATAAAGCTGCAGTGAAAAATTTCCTAAGGAATCAAACTTTTTTTTTATAGAAGTGTAAACTTGATCCAGGGTGTAGTGTCAGTTCATAATGAAATTGTTAGCCTCACTATTGGAGTGCTTTCTAATTTCCAGGAATTCTCTTGATGTAGGTCAGTTCATCTAACATCATATGTTTGCCAGTATTGAATATATCAAGAAGAGAAATCTGCTACCACCCAGAAACTAGATTTATTTTGGAGGAGCTGAATATCCCAGAGACTCTCCACATCTTCCGTGACGAAATCAATTTATATCAACTGAACAGCGAAGGAAAATTGCTTCTTACGCTAGTGAACAGCAGTACATTGACAAGGTATCGTCTCGAATTCCTTATTCATGGTTATTATTACTAGCAAACTCTGCTTAAACAGATTCATGTACATCTCAAAGGTGCTTTTTCAAACAACCTGGATGTATGACCTGGATGATGGAAAATCTCCATAGACAGTTTCATGTATAGCTTTTTCTAGAAATCTTCTTTCCTGGCAGTTTATCTTATGCTTGGATAAATTACTTGTACTTTATTTTGAAGCTTTTGCATCACGCAATGACACTGATATTCATAAAGTTTTATAGTATTAAAAGGATAATGAAATGTTAGGGAACACAACACTCACAACAATCATTTACCACATACATTTAGGCAGTTCATGTTTGGAGTTGAAGATAATTTACTCAAGCCTTGTTCACTTATCTCTATCTGTAGAGTCCTGCCTCTGTTTAAGGAATATATTAGAATATATCTTTTAGTGATGCGTGACATTTCAGTTGGTAAGTAAGTAAGTAAGTAAGTAAGTAAGTAAGTAAGTAAGTAAGTAAGTAAGTAAGTAAGTAAGTAAGTA